CATCGATCAACTGCTTCCTGCACGCCCCCTCCTGGGGATCAAGCTGAAACCCGGGCATGTGCCCTGACCGGGAATCAAACTGTAACCACCTGGTTCCTAGGTTAATGCTCAACCACTGAGCCACTCCGGCTGGCAGTCAGGTTGCCCTTGGAGCCTATTTTCATCCTGGAATGTCCTTTTACTTTCAGTAAAGGTAGGACTCTCTCTGACACTTCCTGGGCCTAGGACAAAAAATGGGGAGCCTCAGTCTGCAGCCTTTTCATCTTCTCTTCCTAGTCCTGGCCACACCTCACACTCAGCCCACATATCCAGTTTCAATCTACAGCCCCAAGAAAAAGCTGCCCCTCCATTACTACTGGGCCTGGGCATGTGTGCATGTCCAGACCCTAAGTTGGCTTTCGTCATGATAGATTTGGAGAAAATTCTACGCAAACTCTGAGATTGGGTCTAGGTGATTTGAGCAGGGGCACAACCACAGGAGGGCTAGATTGGGGCCTTTTCCAGTGCAGGGTTTGGAAGAGGGGCCCAGGCTCTCCTAGTCTGAGGGCTCCTTTGTTTCTCTCCTGTTTCATGTATCCCTTTTCTTCATTTTCTTCATTTACTTACTCCTTTCAGAGGAGCACATCTTCCGTTCACTCTCTGAGAAAGTTGCCCAGGAGATGAACTATTTGAGACGTTGACTTTAAAATATCTTTATTCTATCCATACTTAATTGATAATTTGGTCATTCAATTCTAGATTGAAATCATTTTTGTTCAAGAAATTTTAGACATTGTTACATGATCATCTTGCTTCTCATGTTGTTGTTGAAAAGTCTGAAGATTCTGGTTCTTGGATTTTTTTCCTGACTTTTTAAAATCTCTAGAAATTTATAGTATTTTCACGTTGGTTCAGGTGTTCTATATCATTTCACAATCATAATAAGAGGTGTGGTCTGTTTTTACCTAGTATTTTGAGAACTCATGTCCTTCAGTTCTGGGAAATATTGCTGAATTATTTGAATTTCTTCTCTGTTTACTCTGTCCTCTTTCTGAACTTTCTACTCTTCAGATAATAGATCTCCTGGGCTGGTTTTCTAATTTCAACCTTTCTCTACTATTTTCCATCTTATAGTTTTGCTCTACTTTCAAAATGGGAGTTTGCCTCAACTTTACCTTCCAACCATTCTATGGAGTTTTAAAATTGTATAACATTTTTAATTTTCAAGAACTTCAGAATGTTTTCCAATAGCATCCTATTCATAATTCAAGATTGCAATATTATCCTTATCGCCTTGAGAATATTAAGGATTGTGGAGCCAAAAAGCTAAATGGACTCTATTGATTGTGAACTTGAATGAAGGGTGACCTGGTTGCCCCATTTAGTTATGGGAACCTCGGATGTCGATTGGTCTCAGACGAGTCTGATTCCCCAGAACTGTCTTCACAATATCCTGCCATCAAAGGTGGATGCCCCTCCACCAGCATCCTGAGAGCTAAAGGGAGAGAGGTCATGGATCTCAGCATCTAAATGCCTATGTTTATTGAATCTATTATTGGTTCAGTAATTCAACCCTCAGCTGGTATCTCATAGCCCAGGAACCTTACGTTTTCAGAGAATAAATCCCAAGTTTTCCCTTGGTAATGGAGATGGGAGATAGTCACCCTGCTACCTGGAATGAGAGAGAGAGGATCTGGGTTTCTGACTGCCTTTTCAATAGACTCTCAATTCATCTTTCTTATTTTAGATACACTCCCTTTACCCTACTTCCAATGGGTTTATGGTGCTACCAATTCTTAGACATTTATGAAAATTTAAATCAGATTGGCACTTAGAAACCATAGTTTTAGAAAAATGGCTTTTGAGATACCATAACCTGAGCTTTAATATTAAAGCTCAGGTTATGGTATCTCAAAAGCCATTTAATTATATATATATATATATATTAATTGATTTCAGAGAGGAAGGGAGAGGGAGAGAGAGAGAGAAACATCAATGATGAGAGAGAGTCATTAATAGGCTGCCTCCTGCACAGGGGCCAAGTGGAGGATGAGAAATTACCATGGATGCCAGTGTGACTACATCATGACAAGCAGAGATACCCCCCACTCCCATGTCCCCAACTGACCCTATGGCTCTGTGTAAGCAAGAAGGTCTTGTAAGATTCAGCCTTTTTAGGTCTCCTAAGTCCTTAACCTTCGGACTCCTGCTTTCTAGTTCTAAAATGTAATTGCTTTTGTCTCTTCTATTCTCCCTCTTTTTTTGTGGATTGTAACTTTAAAAAATTACTTACTGTTGTTCTAATGAAGTTTAGGGGGTGGGAAATACATGCATATGCTTAACCAGCTATTTTTCCTGAAAATCTTTGCTTTTCTCTAACTCAATTTGATCTCGTTTTTGAGCTCAGCTTACATTCTCCTGAGTAATCACTGTCAATCAGGTTAGCCTCAGTCACTTCAGGGCTCCATCCTCCTTGGGATTGCCTCTAAGTTCCTTCTTGCTTACAAAGAGCCATAGGGTCAGTTGGGGACGTGGGAGTGGGGGGTATCTCTGGTTGTCATGATGTAGTCACACTGGCATCCATGGTAATTTCTCATCCTTCACTTGGCCCCTGTGCAGGAGGCAGCCTATTAATGACTCTCTCTCATCATTGATGTTTCTCTCTCTCTCCCCCTCTCCCTTCCTCTCTGAAATCAATTAATATATATATAATTAAATGGCTTTTGAATACCATAACCTGAGCTTTAAAGCTCAGGTTATGGTATCTCAAAAGCCATTTCTCTAAAACTATGGTTTCTTCTGAGAGTTTCTGAGGCCCGTTTAGAAACTCAAAAGCTGAAAGTTGCACTTCTGCTCTGGTTTTCTACAATGATGTTCTGAGGCCTTGAAAGGGGAAGGCCTTAGCTGCAGCCTTGGTGGGGTGGAGGGGGAGGGTTGGGAAATAACTGCCTCACTATAAAGCCTTTTTTTTTGTAAACTTTTTTGCTCTGTTAGTTATCTTCTCATGTACTAATATATAAAGATTTGCCTTTTCACCTGGAAGTTCAGTTTGTTGAGGGCAGAACCACACTTAGAAAATTTTTTTTTAGGAAAGAAAAACATTTCCTTTATCCTTATAACTGTGTCCAGCATACAAGGACTACTTCATGGATTTGTTGAAGACCTTTAATTTTGTATCATTATGGTACACGACTATACCTGGAATATAAACATTTAAATAACTGATAAATTTGCTGAATATATCTTGGAATAGTTCCAAAAAGAGAAAATAAACATTGAAAATATTACTCTTATACAATTAAAATAATTATATTAATCACTAGAGGCCCGATGCATGAAATTCATGCAAGAGTAGGCCTTCCTTCCCCTGGCTGCCAGCACTGGCTTTCCTCTGGCCTTCAGCAGGCACTGGGGACCAGGGCTTCCCTCGCAGCCCCAGCTTCGTCCAGAAGGACGGAAGGACGTCCAGTCTAATTAGCATATTATGCTTTTGTTATTATAGATATTTGTAATATTTACTTTATACAATTAAAATTACTTGGGAAATAACTGCATGAATATAAAAGAGATGCTAATATTTTAAAAAAAGGACCTTTATGTATGGTTAAAATAATCCTTTTCTACTTTGAATTTTCAATTCAGCTTCATGTTGACAGGTCTGTTTCGGAAGCTTAGCTTTCAAGGACAAAGAGGATCAGTTTTCCTTGTTGTCTATTGCCCAGCGCCAAGAATGTCAGTGTGTTCCTTTTTTAGAAAACGCAGCTGCTGCTTTCTAGCCTATTCTAGCCACTCCAGACTCAGCTGACAACTGCTGGGGGTGGGGAGGGGAGGCGGTTGTAGCAAAAGCCCATGGTCAGGAAATCTCTTTGGTAACTAGGGTAGAGGTAAACACGTCAGTTGAGTGCAGAGACATTTCCAGGACTTATTGTGAGAAGTACGTGGGATAGAGCAAGAAACTTGTCCTGAGCTGCAAAGGTTGGTGAGGCTTCCTGGTCCTTCATGATGGGTTGATAGTGAATTAATTTCATACCATGCATTGTTGTCAGTTATTTAATTCAAATTAACAAATATCTTTTGAGTCCCTCTGAAATGGAAACAACTGTGCTAGTTTTGAGGTATAAAATCCAAAGATGGGAAAATATTGCTCTATTTTCAGTAGAATTTGCCTCGTTGTTTTTCTCATAACCCAATGGGTATGTTGTTTTCCCAATTTGCAGCTTCTCAATCACTCTCCATTTCCTCTGGGGCAGGAGGCAAGTGCCTTTGCTTGACTCCTAAGGCCCTTCATGACCTAATTCTGGCCTATTTTCCCAGGCCCTTCTGCTTATGCTCAGCATCTTGGTGTATGGTGAATAGGCCACAACACCATATTCTCTTATAACTCTGTGCCTATGGCTGGAACTCTTAGTCTTCACAATTTAGATGAAATGTCATCTTCTCTGTGACATATTTGTAACTCCTTTCCCTTATCCACAGGTGGTGTTAAGGGCTCCTCTTCTTCACTTCCTTTGTGCCTATCATGATTTGAACCCTCTGTGATATAATATTGGAATTGTTTGCATCTAGTTTATCTTTTCCCATATACATTTTATATATAGTTTTATTAATTTTAGAGAGGAAGGGAGAAGGAGAGAGAGAGAGATAGAAACATCATTGATGAGAGAGAATCATTGATTGGCTGCTTCCTACACACCCCACACTAGAGATGGAGCCCCCAACTTTGGCATGCGCCCTGACCAGGAATCAAACCATGACCTCCTGATTCATAGGTTGACCCTCAACCACTGAGCCAAGCTGGGCGGGCCCATAGTGGAAATTTCTTGAAGGATGGAACTGTGTCCTATTTATCTTTCTATCTCCAGCACGTGCCATTGTCTTGGTACAAAGCAGGCACAAAATTAGTGATGGCTTGGTGAATGAATGAAATGACTATTTCCTTTACTTTTTTGATACATCAACTGTCAATTTAAAAAAATCCAGTCTTCATTTTCCTCATTGTTATTCACCAACTCTCTTTCCAGAATGCTGTCAGAAGGGTACCTCAGTGGACTTGCCTACCGGAATGACATCCCCTGGAGTTGTGCGTCTTATAATGAGAACATGGCTGAGGAAAAGGAAGAAGAGACTAACTCTGCTGCTCTTTGCTATTCCTCTGTGGATGAAACACAAGTCGGAAGTCTCTACCTGAGCTGCAAATCCTCCGGCAAGTTCATTTCTTCAGTGCATTCAAGAGAGAGTCAACACAGTAGAAATCAGAGAATCACAGTGCTACAGACAAATCCCAATCCTGTGTTTGAAAGCCCAAACGTGGCTGCAGTTGAAATATGCAGACACCCCAGCAGAGAGACCTTCTTGGTTCCACCTTCCTGTAAAAGTATTTGCAAGAATTACAATGACTTACATATTGCAGGGGGCCAGGTGATGGCCGTTAATTCAGTGACTACAGATTTTCTCTGCGAGAGTAGTTTTGAATACGGCCCTTTGCTGAAATCATCTGAGATTCCTTTGCCAATGGAGGATTCCATTTCTACTCAGCCCGGTGACTTTCCCCAAAAACCTATCCAGCGGCATTCATCCTACTGGAGAATAACCAGCATCAAGGAGAAAAACAGCTTGCAAATGCAGAAGCCTATTTCTAATGCTGTGCTGAATGAGTATCTGGAACAGAAGGTGGTGGAGTTATATAAACAGTACATTATGGACACCGTGTTTCATGACAGTTCCCCTACCCAGATTCTGGCATCTGAACTCATCATGACAAGTGTGGACCAAATTAGCCTCCAAGTGTCGAGAGAGAAGAATCTGGAGACCTCAAAAGCCAGGGATATAGTCATTAACCGCCTATTACAGTTGGTGTCCACTGAAATCAGTACTCCTAGTCTCCATATTTCACAGTATAGCAATGTGAATCCATAATGGAGAGGATGTTTCCATTCCTCTTTGTCAACTCTCACAGCTAAAACAACACTTCATTCAGTTATTCTGAGAATGTGGAGGAGGGGTTTGGGAAGGAGTCAAGAGCTAGAGAAGTAAACATTGGCTGGAGGTCAGGTGTGAATTAAGAGGAAATCTCATAATATTACACATGAGGAAGGAATGTGGGAAGAGGGGCTATAAAGAGTGCTTTCAAAGCCAGGGTTGTATAGCAACAAAGCAAAAAAGAAAAATGATCAAAAAAAGCAAAGGTAGGATTCATTTCAAGGAGTACAGAAATCGAAAAAGAAGACAAGCCAAAGAAGAACACACATCATGGCAAAAGTAAAAGGCCAAAAGTTTCAGAGTAAAGAGTTAAGAATGTTTGTTACTCACAAAGTCCCCCAAGTTGTTTTTTCTTGAGGGAAATAAACTGTAGAAGGCTGCTATATTTGGGTAGAGAGACAGGTTCAAACAGTTTCAAAATATGTTTTTCTCTCTTTTCTATTCTGTATCAGTAGATCACTTAAAATTATGTTCTCTATAAACATGAAAACAGTAGCAAATTGCAATTGTGTTTTTATTATCGAATGGAATGGTTACTTAGATATAGCCACACAACAGCCACTCAAATCTCCTAATTCTGTTTTCTAGTGGAGATGAAATTTCCTAAATGGAAAATATTACATAGTGAATATTAAACTATTTTGATTTTGCTATGTATGATTTTCTTGGTGATACACAGTTAGGAATCTTATTTTTTCTCATATTCTTCTCTTCCTTTTCACCATGCTCTCTCGTCTCTTCTGGAACCAGGAAGGGGTCTTCTGTATCCTAAAGACAAGGTTGCAAGGTCTAGGGTCTGATGATATCAAATTCTGTAAATTCATGCACCAGAATGGTGGCTTTGTGAGTGCTGCCCTGCTCTACCTCCTTCCTCTAGATCAGGGATTGGCAAACTGTGGTCATTGCTCAACTCTAGCCTGACACCTGTTTTTTTTTTTTTTTTAGACATAATTGACACATAACATTATATTAGCTTCAGGTGTACAACATGATTTAAGATTTGTATATATTACAAAATGATCACCACAGTAAATCTAGTTACATCATTTTTAAGCTCCCATGAGCTAAGACATTTTTAAACCATGTAAAAAATGAAAAAACCAATCAAAATAATATTTTGTGACATGAATAAATTGTGATATTCAAATTCAGTGCCCATAAACAAGGCTGTATTCGAATACAGCCACACCCATTCAGTTATGTATTGTCTATGGCTGCTTTCACCCTAGGATGGCAGAGCTGAATAAACGTGACAGAGAACAGATGGCCCACCAAAACCCTAAAACACTATCGTCCTTTTACAGAAGAAGTTTGCCCAAACTGCACCACAGCAGTGCCTTGCCCATATAATGCTTGCTTCGATTAATTCAGCTTCTCTGGGGGAAGCTAACTCTGAGATGGAGACTGGTGAACAAGTTTATTTGGGGGTGTTGGGAACAACCTCTGTGATGGAGTGAGGAAAGCAGAAGAGGTTTCCACAGAGGCCTCAGGCCACCTCAGAGGGCTCTGGAGTTGGGTGGGCCTTCAAAATAGATCCAAGGCTTTTGGTTCTTCAGCTTGACAGGAAGGGGGCGTATCCTTAGCTGAGGCAATTCAGTGGAGGGCAAAATTCCCAAAGTGGGAATCCAGTGTGAGCCTTCAGCAGTCAAACTCTGATAGCTGCTGGGGGAATGAGTTCCTCATCCAGAAGGAGGGATCTGTGGAGAAAAACAGCATCCTCTACATTTCTCAGTATTTGTATCTGTAGAGTGAATGATTTTTTTAAACAACATATGATATTGTATAAGGAAACTGGTTAAATAATTATTCAGAAATGATAATCACTGTTTAAAATATATCATAATAATAGCTGCTATGTATTAATTACTTGCTATGTGTCTGGCACCAGGTAAATAATTTTGTATGGATTATCTTATATAATTTTCAAAAGAACCTTAAGAGAGAAAATTCCTATTTTTTTTTTTTTAACAGAAGAGCCAGCTTGGCTCAGGGAAGTTAAGTAATTTGTCCAGAGGCACACAATTAGGGGTGGAACTTGTGGAACTGGATTTAAATCTTGTTCCATTTAACTTGAAAATCCTGGTTCTTAACCACTAACACCTCCTCTCGTGTTGACCACTATGTTTGCCTCATTAAAGACTGGTTTTCTACTCCAAGGGAAAAGAACTCAATCTCTTTACCATTCTGTTACTTCATGTTTTCTTTATAGTGTTTTGCTTGATAATATTTATTTGCATATCTCCCCCCCTCCACAATATAAGCTTTGATTTATTCATTTGTTTCTCCATGTCCCAAACAGCACTTGCGTATAGTAGACACCCAATCAATATATGTCAAATGAATAAATAAGTTTTGGTTGTGAGGGGTCCTGCATCTGGTGGTCAAAGCAAAATGCTATAATATGAAAAGCAGAAAATTTTGACTAGAAAAATGTGCTATTGAGAGTTCCTCCTCAAGGAGAAAATTGACTGAATAAATGAGCATAATTTCTTATAGCAAGTTAGTAAATAGTATAATAAAATGCATTATAATAAAATATTATCATGGATATTTTTCCTTTTGCTTACTTACTAAGAAATAATTTGTTACAACGTAGACATACCTCAGAGATATTGCAGGTTCAATCCCAGACCACCACAATAAAGTAAATTATAATCTTTTTGTTGGTAGAGGGTCTTGCCTTCAATTTGTAAAAAATATATCTGTAAAGCACAATAAAGTGAAATTCGATAAAATGAGGTGTGCCTGTACACTGGCTCATTTTTTCAATGAGCATTTATTTGCTGCTGTGGTTTTTTTAAGCGGGGAGTTGGAACACTGTGTACTAAACATATATAGAGAAGACACACCTGTGTGTGCATACATACACAGAGGAACAGGCCCGGCTCTCTGCAAGCTTACTATATTGTTGGAGAGACCTAGTAAATAACTAGGGAACTAGTACCAAAGCCACTTAATAAGCAAGAAATTGGCAAAGTGGTGCAAACAGGAATACAATTATCAGTGATTGCAACTCAAGTGTGATAAGTGCTGATAAGGAGACATGTTAGGACAGTGGTTCTCAACTAGAACCACTGGCCTAGCCCTAGAACACCTCTCCCATCCATCTGCCTAGATCCAACCTTGTTCTGCAAGAGTAATTAGACCCACCTGGCCAGTGTGGCTCAGGCTGAGCATTCACCAAGAACCGAGGTCCCCAGTTCGATTTCAGGTCAGGGCACATGCCCAAGTTTCGTGCTCAATCCCCAGTGGGGGGCGTGTAGGGGGCAGCTGATCGATGATGTTTCTCTCATCAATGTTTCTATCTCTCTATTCCTCTCCCTTCCTCTTTCTCTAAAAATCAATAAAAACATGTTTAAAAAGAAAAAGAAAAAAAATATCACAACATCTCTATCCTCCCAATCCAAGATAAAAAGAAAAAGAAAAAAAAAGAGTAATTAGACCCATCACTTCCCCTTGGAATCTTTACCTACACTAGGCTCTACCACTTTCCAGTCCTCCTAACACAGTGGTTCTCAACCTTGGCTGCACATTAGAATCACCTGGGAATCTTTTTAAAATGCTGATTTCTGGGCCTCATCCTCCGGAAATTCTGTTACTTTGTTACTAATGTTGTGGCCTCACCCCATAACAAAGTAACAGAATTTCCGGAGGATGAGGCCCAGAAATCAGCATTTTAAAAAGATTCCCAGGTGATTCTAATGTGCAGCCAAGGTTGAGAACCACTGTAATTAGGCAGAGGCTTGAGAGGGTTTGGTATGACAGGTGGATGACTATAATCGGAGCTGAATGAATGAATTGCTATTGCTACTGTAACCAGGTAACACAAAATTAATGGCTTAAAACAACATAAACATTATCTTACACAGTAATGGTGGTCGGAAGTTCAAAATCATCACTGGGCTAAACTCAAGGTGTTGGCAGGGCCTCATTCCTTGTGGAAGTTTTAGGTTTTAATAGCACCTTCATAACAAACATTTTATAGTTCACTCATTCTATCTTTTAAAAATACTTTAAAATATTTACAGCTTTCATTTCAATCGGTAGACTATTACTCCTTGTTTGGATACAATTATGAATTTTGTGACCTATTCTGAATACCTTTTTGCTTTATAGGCTTCTTAATTTAGTGAGAACATTGTGTTTTTCACCATGAGGCTGTGCTCTACCAAAATTAGTAATCATTTTATCCTCTCAAAAGTAAAGACTTTGTCTTCAAAGTTTAACATTTTGATTTTCTCTATCGCACACGCCAGTGCATTTCCTCCTCCCTCCCCACAGGCACGTTCTCCTTGTCTCTTTCTTTCTCCTAAGTTTCAAGGGCCCTTCTTTTGCCTCAATAATTTGTTTCCTGAGCCAATTTCTTCTACAGCTCATTTCTTCTACCTCTGTGACTTTCTAAAGAAACTTTCTCTTATAGTTTGAGTCTTGCATCTGAATTCTTTCTTAGCCAGAACTGAAGTACCGAGGTTGCTGAACCAAGGTCTGGTCTGACTCCTCCGGTCTAACACCTGGTGCTGGTCTAACATCCATACTTTTAGCATTAGATGAAGCCAGAGAGCTAGGGGGGGTTCGTGGGTGCAGCTTGAGCTCCTGGCTCCTATCCCAGTTGGTCTGTTTGCTCTACCTGTGACCCAGTCTGCAGACAGCCCTCAGAGGTGCCTCCCTCCTATGTGATCCCCAGAGCTTCCTCAGATTGGCTGAGGTAAACTTTGGCACCACAAACTCCACAGCCATAAATTTCACTTACGCAGGCATCCAATTAAACCCCTGATTCTATAAAGTTGCCAGCAATCAAGCAAAAAAAGAAAAAAATTAACTTTTAAATTTAATTTATAATGGCATTGACAGTAATGTCAGATGTTTTATCTTCAACAGAATGAACACTCAAAGATTTATTTTAATTACATAGATTAAATAGAAAAAATGAGCCATTATTGGAATTAACCGATTTTCTATTTGAAGCATCTGGGGTCATTTAACTTCATGAGCAATTCCTCTTTTGTTCTTGGCACAAGCCTATTTATAATAATTACATTAGCTTTTCTCTACATGCACAACTGGAACTGAAAATTAGAAAAATTAATTTAGAATGGGTATTTGATCTCAGTGAAAAGTGAAGTGTCATGTACCATTGATCTTTCTCAGGTACAGTTTTAAAATAACTATAAAATTTTGTCATAGATGTTGGTGCTTTTTCAGCAGATTTGTGTTTTCATGCAGTCGGTAATGTCATTGTGATTGCTGTGGCTGATGACAAATGTTTTATTCTTAATATATTTTTTATTGAACTCAGAAAGGAAGGGAGTGGAAGGGAGGGATAGAAACATCAATGATGAGACAGAATCATTGATCGGCTGCCTCCTGCATGCCCCCCACTGGGGATCGAGCCTGAAACCCAGGCATGTGCCCTGACCAGAAATTGAACCAAGTCACACT